TTGAGATTTGGGATTTAGGGTGTAGGGTTCTCGCCACGGCCAGATCAGCTGGGCTTAGGTTGGATCAGTTTAGATTAGCTTGTCGTGAGCCTTGGCCCCTGACCAGATCATGCCGACGTTGGAGCATCGTCTCGATTTGCGGCATGTGGTCGCGAACGTACGCAACCTGTCGGCAGCACAAGCCGGCAGCAAAGACAACGCGCAATACCTGGCTAGCCAGGTGCTCGTCTCGGCAGCGTTGCCGACGAGTGTGCTATTTCACCAGCACTGGCTTGCAGTCTTATAGTGGAGTTGGCCAGGCGAAAAGCCTGGGCGCTTTCGAAGTACGCGCAAGACCATCTCCTCAGATTCATCGATGGCCGCTGGACGGCTCGGAGGCCTTAGTGCTGTGCCGCCAGGCCACGGGCCGCGCAGTGCCCAGCAGGCGGTGGAGCGCCGCAACAGGACTCAGGTTACCGCCAAGCTTGAATGGGATGAAGAGGAGCAACAACGGCTTCTTGCTCCAGTGTGGAGGTTTCTTGAATATCTGCCCAGCAATTTTGTGGCAACGGAAGTCGGCAGCCGAGTCCAGAGCTTTAATGTCAAACGCAGCTACACGATGCCGGTCAGACAGGCCAACCTCCAGATCGATGATACCTGCCACGAGAAGCTGTTTAGGCTTGTGCAAGCTGAGAACGTAGAGCAATTCACAGAAGCGGACAAGCAGCTGAACTTGCTCAAGCCTGATGCCGAGTTGCTAACAGAGCTTGCCATGATCTTCGTCCTTCGCCGGCCTTTTCATGGGCGCAAGATCATATGCACGTGCGGCTCGACAGACATCTTTTCTTGTTTTGCCACAGGTTCACCAGCTGAGTTGGGTTTCGGTCCAGGGTTTAGGGTTGTGAGGTAGACCGCTTTTAGGTTTTCGGGTTTCTGTCAGACTTCGGCCAGGCTTGGTCAGGTCGGATTAAGTCGGACCAGGTCAGCATAGGTCAGATTGGGCGACAGTTGGACCTTTGGGCGAATCAGAAGTTGAATTGTAACTCAGTTTTCCTTGCGCTCCCGTAAACAATTGAGGTGCCCAGTTTGCCAAAGACGGGGACTGTGGGCGTGTCACCTTGACGCCCTGGCTGGAGGGGGACGAGAGGATCAAGCTAGCAGGCGTCTCCGAATATGTCGCCCGACACGCGGAGCCTACGGTACGAGGAGTTGAGGATGGATTGAGGAAGAGACTGCCCGCGAGGTCCATTGACTCGGCAGCTGCCCAGGCAAAGTGCCTGGTCTACCGTGCAGACGCTCGTCAAGCAGGCCCGTGAACGTTCCCTTTCTCGGCGAAAGCAGAAGAATGAGAAAAAGCGAAAGCTTGGCGCTATTTGGAACTCTCCTGGAAAAACGCCGCGTTGGCTGGAAGGGTGGATTCGCGCGCAGCCCGGATTGCGTCTCTACACAAGGCGACGCTCAAGCTGAGAGACAACGCAAAAACTCTCTCCACCAAATGGAGGCTGTCTCCGAACTGTTGGCGCTGCAGATGTCTTTGAGCGAGGCGAAGGACTTCAAGGCAGACGAGGCAATGCGAGCATTGTTTTCCAATGCGCAGACACTATGCGTCAAGCTGGCGGCTAGGCAATTCTGGATGCGTGGTCAGATGAGAAGAAAACTCGCGCGGCCAGCTCCAATCACGCATCCACTGCCTCGTGCCCTGACGTAAAGAGCACGAATTCTGCTCAGTGATCAGCAAGGTCCCTCTAGACCACGCAGTTGTTGCAGGGTGGATCCTCAGGCTAGTGAGACTAACTAGCGGCATAACTATAATTTCCAATGCTCAGCGGCTTGAGGATCTCACTTGCCTGTGAAGCGTCTGCGCGGCGCACCTGAACACAGATGTCCGGGCTTGGGAGCTGTTCATGATGCGAGGTCAGCTCAGGTTGGGTAGGCAAGGCTGGGTCAGGCCAAACTAATTTGGTTCCTTGTTTTGGTCCTTTGTGTGTTCGCGCAGCCTCAGTAAGGCTCTTTTTTGGTCAAGGAATTTCGACGAGTTTAATTACGGGCAGGGGTCAGGTCAGATCAGGTCAGATCAGCTCAGGTCAGCTGCTCCTACTCCAGGCCCCCTACCCATACCCGGTCGCCTGCGCTGCTAACTGCCAGGGTCCCAAGTAACCAAGATCCAGGTAGCCTTTTGAACCATGCCTTGGTCTGGGCTCTGGGCTTAGTCACTATACGGGCAAAAATATTTATCCTGTGGTCAATTTTCCCAGGTTTTCATTCTTCAAGGATCCAGTAAGCCGTAAACCTCGAGCCAAACCTCAAGCATGTAGCCAACCCCAATCCCCAATTCCGTCATACCAGCTAGGCCAGGAGATCTTCGCCGGTCCTAAATCTGGAATTCTTTATCAGTTCGTACTGCCGTACTCCCTCGACTCATATCAGATCAGGTCAGCTTGCTTTAGGCTACTCCTACTCCCCTATGCCCCCTACCGACTACTTCAGCCCATGTCAGGTCAGGTCAGCTCAAGTCAGCGTCATCCCAGGTAGAAGGGGGCATGCCCAAATAGAGGTTAAGTAACAAATTCTCATTAGTAGTCCTGCCAAATCAGTACAGGTTACTTGGTCAAACCGCGTGGAAGTGGTTGGGATCTTCCTGAACCCTAGGATACTCAATCACGCAGAAGCATCAACAAACCCTTCTTAAGCACCAACCCCCAAAGTATGAAAGTATCCCGAATCAACCCCAGCCCTTAGACCAGGCTCGGCTTTCGCTGCAGTGCATCTGTCGGTGCGGCCTTGGAGAAAAAAACGTTTTTGGCCGCCAGAGCGTTGCTTTTGGTCGCATGCCGCGACTCCTTTGGTGACATGATTTTTCTTAGCTTTGGTGTCCTGATCCTGTTCTTGGTGCTTGCATCTGTCCTTTTGGTGGTTCGCATGGGGCTTTTGGTGGCCCAGATTGGTTGTTTTGGTGGCCTGATATGTTCTTTAAGTGGCCGAGAAATTTTGTACCTTTCTTGAACAACTAGCGTGCTCCACATCGACAGCGTGATGCTGGTGAGTTTCCGGGACACCTGGTGAGTCAATGCCCCAGCCCTGTGTCATGCCCTAGCCCCGTGTCTCACTTTGAACAAACAAACTGGCGGTCTATGTATAGAGGTCCTGGTGATCCAACGTGGACTGTAGCGGAAGCAGCGAGCTCAGCAATATTGGCCGTGACCCAACTCTCCTTGAACACAATGGGCGACACTCTTGTCTCTTGCAAGATGTGGTCAATGCGTGGCGTTGTCAGGCTTACACCCATGCTCTGGCTATGATGCAGAGGTATCTTGCTTTGGCGGCCGGCAGATTTGCGTACAAGATGGAAGCGTGTGCAAGCATCACAGCGCAACCATTCCTGAAGACCTGTTGCAAATGCCCGCCGTCGATGCTGATGGTTTCTGCGTCACGGCGTACCGGTTAAATTCGTGTATTCTGCGCTTGGGCGATGCCCCAACTTCTGGCCACTATGCGAATTGTGTTGCATGATGAAATCTTTCTCTTGACTGACGATGACTTTCCTATGTGATCTCTGAGGGTTGATGACATGGAATGGTTTCACCGTAGCTCATATGTTTTCAGTTATTCCCAGGTAGAGGGCCAGGCATGAGTTGAGGATGTTCTGCTTTGGGCCCATGGACAAGGAACATTCTTCTTTCTGCAATGGCATAACGTAGCCAAGCCACTGAGCCTGTCCCAATGAGGCGCTTGCAGGAGCTAAGATCTGGCTGCGTGGAAAGTGAAAAATGAAGTGTCCCCACACTTGGCTGATCCGTTCAACTTTATGGGGTCATATTGATTATTTTCCGGCACTCTCAGACTCCTGAGCATCAATCCGCATTCATGCCATCTGGACAATGCAGATACACCAGAGGCCCCAATCGAGCTGGTCGCCCCACACTTCATTGGCTTCATTTTTTTTCATCGGTCAGCAGATGCCGTAAATTTTCATCGGTCAGCAGATGCCGTATGATTATGATTATCGGGTGTCTCCAATTCTCTGGCTTGGATGGGCATCGTTGTTTTCCATGAGCAAATTAATCAGGATTGTACAGAGTGGACAAGAGTGGTGCACGAACCCACTACTGGAACCCGTATAATTTGTCGTTGATGGTGCCGTATTGTCAGGTGCCCATGTGTGCCTGATGTGCGCATGTTGGCACGAATTTCCAAACTTACAAGCACCATCTCTCCAGCGGTAGCATGTTTTACGGTTGGTCACCGGTATGCCTCGAACGTCATCATCATTGCGACGCTCTGCAAAGGACCATCCGGGAGGGGCGTCCGAATCTATGTGCTTGAAGTTCCAAAAGTAACCAAGCGAACACGCACCCTGCGGATAGAACCTGCATGGTCGATTGGACCATGTTTTCTCTCTGTGTCTATCCCTCAACACCCCAATGGAAGGGTACTCTTCATCAAACACCAAGCGCTGCCGGGACTGATTATTAGCGTCTTCCTGGGTATTACCAAATGCGTCAGGGTCCCCATACTTCACTTCAAGATTGGGTGGACACTCACAGGCAAAGTACTGACCCCTAAAGCCCCTAATTTTGACCTCTGTGGCAAAACTTTCCCGTTCAGTGGTAGTCGATCTAACCTTTAGCAATCCTTGCGGGATATTTTTTCGTGTTCGAAATTCAGTCTACAATCCCGAGCGGGCCAGCTCGGCATTCTGGTAAAAAAAGTGTGCACGACAAGAACCCGTCCGGACCTGGAGCATGGTTTTTCTTAAGTTTACAATTTACTCGCATTACTGTTCAACATTTTTTCAACTTAAAAAAGGCTGAGAAACTTGATGTTGGTACACTTCTCGATTTGCGCGTGTCATCTCTGCGAAGGGTCCACGCTAATTTTTCTGAGTCGTTCCAATGCTATTCCATGTCCCTTCAACAGAATGCCCCGAAAAACAGTACCTACACAGAAATGGGCGCCCGCAGCATAAGTGTCAGTTCTTTGACGGGGCAATTGATGCCCATTCTTATCCATTGCCATTTGAGGCAATAGATCGGTCTTTCAAGATAGATTTCGAGACCTTCAAGACCGGCTGGTTAAAGATGTTTGAAGGCAAGAGCGAGGACCTTCAGCTGCAAATAATAATAGTCCATATGAAAGGCCTTCAGGTGCATTGCCTCTGCAACATCTCCGCCCGTGTGGGATGGTATGCTTGACACGCGTAGCAGCTACATTCAAGGCTTTTTCTGCATGCAAGAAGTTTTTACCAATGCAGATCTGGTGGCTGCCAGCGAGGCCGAGCTGAAGTCCATGTTTCAGGCTATGGACACTGACGAAGACGGGCATTGCACTCAGCAAATGGCTCACATGTGGAGCCGTTCTGATTTTGCCGAGATTTGAGGTTGATCACTTACTTGGAGTGGTCTTCCAGCGTGAAGCTTTCGGAGATCAACGAGCTGGTGAGAGGGTGCAAGCACCGAGGATTGATTGTGCAGACAGTCCTTCCGAAACGTATGATGGTTGTTGTTTTGGCTGGAGCGCTTGCCGTTTGCCAACGTAACTTCTCCAGGACGGATGTACCATGCTGCGCTCAATGCAGAAGAGTTGCAGTTGTACCGTGTCTTGGGTGGACTATTGGCTTTGGGACTTGTTTGTTGGATGTCAATGCTGTCAGAACGTTTCCAATGACTGCCGAGGAAACATGTTGCAACGAGTGCAAGGAATCCTGGATCTGGCTCAGGCATGGGGGCAGCTGAGATTCATCTTTACTCATTTTCGATGCTTTTGGGTCACTATTCGCTCCGGGGTATTTATTAGCTGCAAAAGACACGCTTTGCAAATCAACGCAGTAGGAGCTCGGCGTTCGAGTAATGATGCTTGGCTCGCAAAACGTACAGACCGCAGGCAAAGGCATAGCCCCTGTTTAGTTTGAAAGTGTCATGATCACTTGCTTAGCTGGTATCATCTTTTCATGGCAGTCCAAACTCAGGATTGACGCGGAATGGACCGACATCCAGCCTGCAATCGACCACATCACCATTTTTATGCAGCGGACACTTGGACAACTTCGAGGTGCTTGCGGCACGCTTACCGCGTGCAAACTTAGGATTTACAACACGGGCGATCTACCTATTGCAAGGACCTTACGAATGGCCAGCAGTTGGGTTTTCTCATTCGCATGTCAGCTGGCGAAATGCCTCTGGCAAGGCTGGTTGTTGAGCCTCCTTGCGGTTTGTCACTGAGGTTTTCAACACATACCAGACTTACCTGAAGGCAATGATGCCCCAAAAGCAGTGGCTGTGAGAGAGCAAACCTGGCAGCTGAAACGTAGACTTTGAAAACGTGCCAGCCGCTGTCGCTCCATCAGGGCATGCCCACCAGAGTACAGCGAGACCTGCAAAGATCTAGGCGCTCTTCTGAAGTTTTTGGCATGGCAAGGTTGCTTCTCACTTGATTTTGAGGCGAGAAGGATGGCGCTTTGGTGCCAAGCTTGTCCGTGGCGCGTTGCTTGATTTTCCAATGTATGCTTTGTGCCTGTCTTTTGTCGTTTCTTTTGCTTTTGATCGCCGAAAGCTACAGCTGCCAAGGTACATGGTGTCCGAACGCGAGAAGGCACTGAAGCGAGAGCTCGAGTCTCCAGTGTGTGATACTTTTCTGCGAAGGCAGTGTAACGTGCAGACTTTCTTGTCGAATTCGTCAGCAGGCCATTGCTTATTGTCACCAAGGAGACCTATGAGGAAACAGAAGATAACTTCCACAGGGCCATTGATTTGATCTTGGACCACAAGGAGGAGGTTGGCAAGGCAGCCCGGTTACTGTTTCATGTATTTTCCAGAACTTTTTACTGAGTGTCGAAATTGACGCGATGAGCTTGTCTGTCAGGGCGCAGGGGGTGCGGCAGCAGAGGCAAGTGCCAGCAGATGATGGCAGCTGCAAGCCTTTAAGCTGATGGTCTTTGGAGAGGTTCATACTGTCATAGCTTACCTTGTTGAAGGCTTCTCCCATGCCTTTCTGAGGCCCAGGGTCTTAAGATCCCATCACCTCACAAAGACCCATTCGATTCTACTCGCTTTGGCAACCACCCTGAATGGATGGGAGGGCAGCAAAAGAAGACTCCGCTCAGCGCTATCCGGATGGAAGCTGAGTGTGTTGCTGCAGCGTGCAGGTGCTTGTGGCTTCGCACAACCGCGGTTCCATTGAGCGGACAATCCGTAAGATGGCAGAGCTGGGCGTGAGCCAGGACTCGACTGGTGCTTCTGCCGTTTCCAAAATCATGGTGATTCGCATGGCGTCTTTCGGCTCAGAGTCCCGATATGTAGTGCAATCCACGCCAGCATGGAACTACTTGAAGCCCCACAGACCGGCAATGCCGAGCCACAGGCTGAAGATGAGATTATGCACAGCATTGTGCAGCGATGCGTTGTCATGGCGTGATCTTTTCAAACATGACCAGATCAAGTTGTTCGGGGTCTCCGCTGCGAACGGTCGTTGGCCAGCTCACCTCTCAGCTTTTCGAAGTTGCCCTCATGCATAGCTTGCATCGGCCTGAACGGCAAATTGCAGAAGCTTGAATGACGTGAGGAAAGATTCGGAGCATCATGGCTGCTTCCTGACTGGGCGCTTCTCGCTGTTCGTGCTTGCGCATCTTGGCCGACACCGTCGGGATACCATGCCAGCAGGCTGTGCATCTTTCTTGCCAGGTGGCATTGATCTTTCTTGGAACCCTGGTGCTTGACGGGGTTACCACACGAGATGGTCCGATTCTCATTGCTTCTATTTTTAACATGTGGCAAAGATTTGATGCGTTGTCTCAGGATGGCGATTCCTCATCTACTTAACGCGATGGAGCTTCCTCCTAGAGACAATTTACATTTTGCTGGCCGTTTACGTCACCGTGCAGGCGCGAACAGCCTCTAAGAGGCAATCGACCGGCGATGACGGCAGCTCCTTGCATGAGCTCTACAGACTTCCAAGATCAGCAACTTGCAGGGAAATGTTAATCTGTGCGTGTCCTCTTGAAAAATGTTGCAGACTGACGTCCCTTCATTAAACTCCACGAAGGTGCAGGCCATGGCACTGCTCTGGAATCTCACTTTTCCTGTCTCAATTCTGGTGTGCCTCGCATTCTGGACGCTCATCAACCCTGTGTGGGACATGAAGATTCATCCCGGTTATGCCACCCGGCCGTTGATGATTCACAGTTGAACAGCATTTTTCTTGTGGGTGCAAATTGTAGGGCAACGATGGCAAGAGTATGCCTCTGGCTGCAGCGTCTGTCTTAGGCATTATCCGGATCCGCGCAGTGTACGTAGGTTGAATGTGTCCATACATGAAAGGATGCTGACAGGTGCCACGAGGGGCGCCATGCCAGTAAGCTAGCTTGAGAAGCTTTACAGGAACAGATTTCAAACACAATTCTCAGATTTATTCGAATTCGCACTCTCGCGAAGAGTTGCGCACGATCCTGATCCTTGCAACCGTTGTCATTCGAAGCTTGGCTCCCACCACAGGCCCCCGCATGTGCCGCTCGTTCGGGCCTTCGTCCTATGATTAGTGCTTTCAATTAAGATCCGCAGCAGCACAGTTCGTCATGCTGTCACCTTTGCATGACGAGGTGGTGGTATTCGAGCACTTTTTGAACATGCTGCTTTTTATGGTTGAGTTCCTGCTGAACAAGAACGTCTTTGTTTTGAAGCATGGGGTCGTCCTTTTTGCGTATGCGCTTCTGCAACCTGGCAGTATCTGGCAGTACTGGTCTGTTGCCATGGCGCCCCAGCTCTGTTCTGTTCTCAGGTACACTACATGGACCCTGATCCACTACGCTGCCAAGATTGGCGTTGCTCCATCCATGGCATGTCAGGCTCTCAGATTGTGAGTGGAACGCCAGGCATGCGAAACGTGTTCAGAAGTTGTGGGAGCACTTGGTAGCTGCTCCAACACGCGACTAGGCCACGATTATCCGTTAGATGAGTGCCCTATTTACGCAGTGCTCGACTGGCATCATCCCTGGAGGACTGCAGGTTGCAACATGTTTCAACATCCACGTATGTTGAAAGGGCAGTTGCCGATGTCGACAGACTTGACAGGACAGTCATCGTTATAGCGTTTGTCGCGCTCTCAGCAAGGTTGGCCTGATATGAGCCCGTATGCTTATTCAATCTTATTCAGCCTGCCTTGTGTTATCTTTTTTGCGCTTTGCCTTGCTCTTGCCTGAGGTCATATTCGCAAGCTTTCTCATCCAGCTGGCTGTGTGGAAGTGTACTCGCTTGCGGGATCGTCGATTTGCGCACGACCCTGCAAGAACCGTTGTGGGACCAGTTAACGTGATCTGAGACCAGAGATCTGGGACGAAAAGGCGGTCTGCAATGTGAGCTGGTCTGGCATCCCCTGCTTTCGCCCGCGCCTACTAATTTTTGTCTGAAATTTAGTTCTAAACTTAGCAAGGACCGCGTGGGCTTTGGTCGGCGCCTTGTGGAAAGAGGTTTGGAAAGTGTGCTACTAGGTGCTACTAATGATGCCTTGGATATTTCACACCAAGGCCAGCTCCTGGGAATGGCGGATCACCTCACCTTCACGATTCTTGGCATTCTCGGTGTCATGTTACATGCTTTTGTTTTTCACTGCTTTCGGGAAATCTAAATACAAGTCAGGCTCGGGAGCTATGGCTATAGGCTGGATGCAGCAATATCCCACGCGCTGACATGGCACACCAAAAAAGTGCGTGCAGGGCCTACAAATACGTTCCATACGGGCCGGTGGATGAAGTCGTTCCATATCTGATACGCCGCACGCAGGACTTCTTTGTGTGTCTCGTTGCCCATGGGTGATGTATTTAGTTTTCGACCGTGCGAACTAGGAGAACTCAGCAATATTGGGATCTCCCAGCGTGCAAGAAGAGAGGCCTTGGTCATGCCGTATCTAGAACCAATTGGCGTTTCTGCGTCTATGTCAGGCAAATGGTGGGACAGGAGGTGGTTAGGCGGCTTCGTCCCTTCTAGGAAGCCCCATGCTCAGCATTTGTTGGGCAGCCGTCTTCTGGGCGCTGTGGTGACACGGAAGCGAAGGTCGAACTGGAGCTGCAGAACTTTGTTGGACAAAGCGTACAAACGTCTCGAGAGGACATCATCGATGTTGTTTCCAGATTGCAGATGACCACCACCACAGTTGGACTGCGTTGCCTCAGGCCAGACTCAGTTTTCGTGTGCCGCATACAGCCCCGTGCTCAGATTGTCGCTGCGGAAATGGCAGTCGTTTAGAGGGCCCCTAATCTTGGCGACTGTCCTGACTGCTGCTTGATGAAGATTATGTCAGTCTTTCAAGAGAAATTGCCGCTCAGTCAGGTGCGGGTACACAGTACAGCCATGGTGACTACAGTCGTCTCGCTGAATTGATCCGAATTGATTTAAAGCTGGCCGCATATTGTCGCATGATGCATGAGGTTCAGGAATCGGATGGATGATGCACACGTGATGCAGCAATGTGCAGCGGCGATACATACTATGTTTAATTCATCTCAACCGATACAGTTGGTGAGGCACCCAAAGACTCGAATGCCAAGCACACGTCTACCAACGCCCCAGATAGCCATGCTGAACACTCAGTCCTCACCACCTGGCCTGCAATTTGCATCCGTTTTGCACAGATCGGCCCCAGACGTATTCTCTTAGAACTTTTCTTTTGCCTTTCCATGGTCGTAAGAAGCGCGCCCTGGCATTTGGCCGCTGTGTCAAGAACAAGAAAGGGCGCAAAAAGACATGCTGAGCCGCAATGTTTTGCGCAGGCATTTATGCACTTATGACCTGGAAGCTCATGTGCCAGGCGCCTAGCTCGAAATTTCGATGGCCTTTTTCCCGATCACGATTTGCAAAAGGAGCCTTGGCAGGGAGCAGGATAGACAATACCTTGTTATATTTTGCGCCCAGAGTCGTCCAGATCCCTCCAAGAACGCCAGTTGTTCCGCGCATTTCTGGCAGGATCCACATGTCATCGTGACCCTAGTGCCGACCCCAGCTGCAGAACAAATCAGTGGATGCGATGAGTTGTATTTGTCAGATGTGTATGGTGTTGACCGTGAGCTTTAGGCTCGATAGCCCACCAGTGGCTAAGCGAGATACTGAAGTGAGTTGACTGGGGGTCAGGTGGCCAGGGATAGAACACTGGGCTAATTCGCAAACGTCTGCTTACGTGATTTCAGATACGTTGCTAGCCTTCTTGATGCATTCGGCTTATGTGCTCGGTCCACACACTGCATTTGTAGTGACCTTTAGCAGCCAAAAGTCATCATGATCTGGCATCAAAGTTTGGGACCTACCTGCTGTGTCTCGTTGATGCTCATTAACTGCGTCACTTGTGCTACGGAGGCCTTGGCCCGGCAATGTGCCAGGACCCAGGGACCCAGCACGCAGAAACCACTTGTAGTCAGAGCTGCATGGTACCACCAGGAGTCGGCATCGCTCGGCAGCGTGGCCAAAGACACTGAGGCCAAGATCTTGGCAAGTTGGCAGTAGGATAACGAATACTGCTACACGGTCCATGTACTTGGGCAAAGCTAGCCAATGTCACTGCTTCAACCTCGCTGATGCTCGGAGTTGTCCCCAGGGTGGCATTTGTGTCTTGCCGTGGATGCCTGTGTGGGTTCGACATGCCAGGCTTCCCGATGTGTGCTACAAGGCTGCTGCTGCAACGAGCACCAATCGAAGCCAGCTTTCTTCCCAGACAAGCTCTGAGACTGCAAAGGCCGACGAGTTGGTGCGATCAATTCTCAGGAGCTGGCAACGTGACGTATGACGCTCGCACAGGGAATCGAGCAGCAACTGGCCGCATGCTGCAGGGATGTCAGCAACTGCTTCTGGCGCAGGATCTGCGAACTGGCAATGTGTACGGTATCATTGGTGGTCTGGGGCCCACAACGACATTTTAGATTGGCGTTTGGGTTTCCTGCAAGCACAGGTGCTCGACAGTGTTTGGACCAGGACCTGACCATGAAAGCCGAGGTTACGTCCACTGTTGCTGTGTTGTCAGTGCAGTTTTGGAGTTGTACCTTTTGTTTCTGACCACGGTCCAGTTGGGTAAAGGAGCTGGCTGCAGTGCCGGACGCAAAAACGAACGCTCAAAATTCCACCTGCTCTGTCCTTGAAAAGGCTTCGCACCCCTACCATATTATCATATCATCGAACATGTATCTGTTTCTATTGGCTCTCGCAGTTTGATGGTGAGCTGCACCATGAAATAGCAACTTGAGTCATGATGCAGACGTCGATGCATGATGTCTGGCAATCTGTCCTGACACGATGGATGTAGAGCGGGAAGCATCCAAATTCCGTGCCCTAAAGATGATGAGCATCATCAACAAGTGTGAACGCAAGCGTCACCAAATGTCACCTCTTCCGTGATAATATGCACTGGTGGGGGGGGGGTAATTACTCTGCGCCCCACCTATTTTTGGACTCTCCCAGGTCTATTTCCGTGAGTGTGGGGGTGGGTCACAGAAATGAGCCTCGTTAGGCCAGCAATAGTTGTAACAGTGTTTGTAGTAGCAGTAGCAGCAGCAACAGCAGCAGCAGGAGTGCTGTATCTTCTTGAAGCCTTCTGCTAAGGAAACTGCTACATGTTCCTGAAGGCCCTTCGCCCCGACTCTAGAAAATCCTTGGCCTGCTGGGCTGGAGAGTGAGTCCCCCACCCCTTCCAAGATTCATTGTTGAACAGCAGGCTTCTGCCAAGCAGGCCCCACGCGTTGCAGTGGTGAAGCAGGAGGATGATAATCGCAGGGATGGCTAGATATGTTGGGCCTTAATACCATCCTGGCGATCATCATTATCTTTTTTGTGTGGCGCACGTGAGAGTGGTCCACCCCCAACATGAATGTTTCACGGGAAATGAGCCTGGGCACATTTCCGCGCTACCCCACCCCTATTTGGGGTATTATACTTCTCTCCAGCTTGACCAGTTTTGTCCGCTGCAAGTCCTGCCAGTTGGCATCGCCCTCCTGTGCTGGTTCCACGCGTCCGCATCCTACTCAACAGCTTTGTTTTCAACAACTGGCACGGAGGGCACGGCCATCAATCTAGCACTCGACGGAGCCAACTGTCACCAACATTGGCAGCTTCTTGAAACCGAGTACAGTCCACCAGGTCTTGTGGAAGACGAAGCCGAGCTTGAAGTGCAAACTGAGCATATGAAATACGGTCTTCGTTTAATGCTCGCTTCCACTTTATGCGTCGCCTGCCGCCGGGGCAGGGGTGGCCGGGTTCCGGAGCAGCATTGGGGCCAGAGAGTGGCCAGGTAAGTCTCATGCAAAGGCTGGTCCACTGGCAGAAATATTTTATGAAAGATCACGAGGCCTCTTTTGCTATGACTACGGAACAACACTGGGAGTGCGGGGCGCGCAAGCAAAGCCCGATTAGACCAAGTTGGAGTTCTGAGGTAATTTTTGTAGTCGAGGCATTAGTCCAAGCTACGCCCCATGGTACCAGGATCATGCTTTTGCTGCTTCGGATGTGTTGTTTCGGGTTCAGGGTTCCGGGTCGCTGGGGGTTTTGTTTCAGACTCTGTTGCTACTATGTTGTTCAAAGTTCTCCGTGCTGCACTTTGAGCCGTTCGGAGGGCTCAGCTTGAGCTTCAACGATCATCCACGTCGAAGACTGGATACTTTTATCCTGTTCCGAATGCATACGGTTGCCAGAACATTAACAATGTTCGTGTTTGACTGAGTTCGATGGCCAGGGCATCCATGCCCAAACCATAATCTCGGCGTGGGAGTGCATGCGTTTGCCAGCGCATCAATTCCCTAACCATAAGTACGTTTTTCTTTTATTGCATTCGGTGACCAAGAGCATCCAAGCCCGAACCACAATGAGGTTGACAGCACACTGCCAACCAATATCATATTGAGATGTTCAGCTCCTTTCCGAGAACTGCTACCGCGAAGCGTTAGTTTTTTAGTCCATTCGTCCAGGCGCGCCACGTGCTTTAGACGGTGTGAGGAGTTCTTTCGCGGGTATGTGGCCGGCTAGCTCGTGGTATCGATCAATGGGCCACGGGCTGTTGGATACCAGCTCTTAATTGTTGCCATCTTGAGTGGACGGGCCAAAAGCGCCTGACAGATCGCCTGCGAGGCTGGACTCGCTGCGTATCAAAGTCAAAAAGAGAAGTTCTTTAGACATTTTCGTCATAGGAACCTCAAGGTGCCTCATAAGTCCAAGAGCGTGAGGAGTTCCATTGTAGATTTTGGTCGCCCTATTGGTCCACCCCATTCATCCGAGGGCGCGAGCAATTATGATTTTAGGGCTTAGGGCCCCATTTGTCCACGGTGTGTCCCATGCGTCCAAGGGGT